ACAAACAGACTATAAATAACGATTTTTTTATCATAAAAGTATAGTTACAACTTGGAAATGACTTATTTTTGAACCTATGTTTAACTTTTTTCTTCTTTTTGAATCCCAAATTGCCTTCCGAAGTATTGCGCGCATTTTTCGGGACACTCTTACATATAATTTAAACAAAATTAAATAAAAAACGAAAATAGTACCTGTAAGTAGTTATTTATAATATAATTTTGCTCTACTAAATTGGCATACCGAATATTAGTACTTATTACATCGAGCCAATTATACCTTGTAAGGATAAATTATTATATTCATTTAGTACGTTATTATTAACATGATAGAATATTGAGATTTGTGTTGTGTGCCAATTGTATTGCTTGATCGCACTTTTCCTGGCGAATACCTGAATTGATCAGTAGTATCTTCATTCTTGCCATCTCTTTGCATTTCTCAAAAGCGTACTCTCCGTAATCGGCAAGTAAACTAATTGTTACAAAAGCCGAATACACAAACGTCGGTATCAATCTGCGTACATTGATAGTCTTGCAAACGTTCCTCGTAATATTTAACGTACAGTTCAACATCTATCAAAAAGTCTATGTGATTAAATTCAATATTTGCATGAGGCTCATTCTGTAAACGATACCAATGAAGAAAACACGCAGCCAGACACACAGCGAATGATGTTGAACTGCCAAGACCAGCATCGAGCGGTATATTCGAAGTTACGTGCACGTGAAAGATCCGATGACAAGTTTCTCATTTACAGCAATGCTATAAAGTAAACAAAAGAACATTTGTAAACTAAATCTCTGTTGGAACGTACGCCACAAGCCGTTGAAGGTAATGAACGATTTCACGTATTAATCCTAAAGTTTTGATTTAATTGGTTATTTTGCTCTTCAGAAAAGTAGCCACGAACTTCTTCTAAAGGTACTTGAATCTGTAGATTCACATCTGGGAATTCTATTTCAATTGGCCACCCTTCTGGTAATTCACGAAATGTGAGTTTGGTACGACGATTTAAACTGGTCAAGACAAAGTATTTTTGATAACTCGCCAAGTGTTCTCCGGCTAGACGATTCGGCTCGGTGCGGAAATTTTAAAACTAGCCATCCTTTTTATTCGTTTATAATAAAAATAACTTCTTAGTTTCAGAACTGTGGTAATGTTGAACAATAGAGAGTTTATATCAAGAAGGTACAAGAATTCTGCTAATAAGAATTTGAAACGTTCGTATCGCACATAAGACAGTGTTTATATTTCCCGTGTGTACACTTTCGCGTCTCATTCGTCACTGATATCGTCTCGAAACATATAATACCATTACCCGGCAGTCACGACTTTAAATGTAAACTACAATCTCAATTTTTTCGATATTATGGGACAGTGGTTATCTTAACCGGTGTCCCGTAAATTATGAAAACGCGGAGTATCTACCTAGAATAAATTACTATAATTTTTTTAATTTTATGAATATTATTTTTTAAAAGTTATATTTGAACAATTTTGTTCCGCAAATTTTTCTTATAATCATAAGTCAAAAGTGTTTCGTAACTTCAAAAAGGTTAAGAACCACTGTTTTTAGGGAGATATGGTTAGAATAAATTGTGTATGCCCATACTTAATTCAAAAATAATATATTATTTTCAATATCATAAAATAAACGTTTTCTTATATTGTCGTGGATACATTTCAAATAATGTCAAATAATATTGATGTTATAAATTTAAATCATATATGTAACGTATGTATATTTAATTAATTTATATAAGTTAGTTAAGTTAGTTATAAGTTAGTTAGTTTATAATTACTTACATTATATATATGCATATATATTTACTAAAAAATTAAAAATGATAAAATATATCAATTAAATTAGCAATCAGTAAAGTAGTCATTTGATCTGCATTTTCTAATTTGCATTGACACAATGTATAAATGTTTATATGTTACAATTTTTGTAATATAGTATATATTATAATACAAACTATATTTTCTAGTCGAGATACGCGTATAATTAAGATACATATTATAATATAAAATGTAGTACCGTACATATGAAAATTTTATTGTTTTATAAATTATATAATTTTGACATGAAACATGAATATATTGTAATCATTGTTATTTTACATATCTCATTTATGTTAGCTTAAATCAACATTATAATTATAACTAATGTATTGCGAACTTTGGCTCAGAATATTGAAATACATTTTATTTTTATATTTTAGTTATTTTATAAAGAAATAAATCTTATTTTAGTATATATAATACTGGAGATATAAAAAAAAAATATAAATATCATTTTCATTCTGACAATCTCCAGCTACTGTGCAACCCAATTGAAATAATTGTCGTAATTAATTTTTTGCATTATTAAATAATAGTCATATAAACTATAAATATGCATTTATATAAGCAATCATATTCATTTAAGTATTCACGGAGAGAAACTTTGCTGTCATCGTCCAAGTAATAATATTATACATATAATAATTCGAATGTTTAAAAAAATCGGCAAACACTTTATTATCTTTATTACAATTTTCGTTTTTTTTCTTTATTTCAATTACGTTGAATAATGAAATAAAAATAAAAGACATATGTAAAAGTTGTTAAAGAGTTTATGAAAATCTCTTTATATTCCACTAGTTCTTCATTAGTATTAAAAAATATCAAAAGATATAATTTTCTGTTACCTTAAAATAATTAATGTATATAACTTTTTAATATAATTTCTATATTGCCAAAGAAGTAGAACGTGTGATTATAAATGACAGATATATTACATGCTTCATATATCGTATACTACATGCTTCATAATTCGCATTTATAAATTTTATAGCATTAGCATTATTGAATAATGATAACTTATATTTTGAAATATTTTTACGGTTACTTCTTTAGCAAAATAAAATTAATAAAATCAATCAAAATTAATATTGGACGCTAGTAGTGAAAATAAACTTGGCAGAATTGATTTCGACGTAACTAGCAATTTTATTTAATTCTTTCACGACGTTTCGACCATTTGGTTTTGGTCCTTGACGTTGACGTTGACAAAACATTATAGCAATGGGACGTGTTCCTCTTTTAACTTTTAACTATTAATTTTAAATAAGACCGGTGTGATGTTGAGTTAATCTCAGTTTAATTAATGAAATTTTTACTTGATAAGGACCACAACTAAATGGTCGAAACGTCATGAAAGAATTAAATAATTGCTAGTTACGTCAAAATCAAGTCTGCCAAAATTAATAAAAAATAATTATATCCACCAGATTCCTTTTATGTAAGCATATCTACATCTTTAAATTATGCATCAGATGACATACAGGGTTTGTCCGGAAAGTAATGCGTCGCATTTTTTGTGACGCGACTATACATCGCAGAGCGTTTGGACCGGTTGGGGAGAAGGGGGTACCCTTAGCTTTCCAACGGTAGGTCTCAATTGTTTCCATGCGCTTGAGGGTTAGGACGGCTTATTCTGTGAACCTCTGCTTATGTGTCGCGTCGAACTTGTGAGGAGAGAACGATAGAGCAACGCTATGCGATAAAGTTTTGCGTGAAGCTGGACAAGACGCCGCTGGAACTTTTGAAATGCTCAAGAAAGTTTTCGGGGACGATTGCCTTTCCAATCGCAGTCAACAGATGGCACAAGATGTTTAGAGAAGTCGGAAGGAGTCGCCGACGAGCCCGCGCAGGACGCCCGTCAACATCGCGAACGGACGACAATGTGACTCGTGTGCGCCAATTATTGAATTCAGACCGTCGAATGAATGTTCGCTTAATGTCGGAATATTGAACTTGCCGAAAACGATTGTTCACGAGATTGTATCGGAAGACTTGGCCATGCGGAAGATTTGCGCAAAACTTGTGCCCAGAGTGTGACCGATGCGCAAAAGCAACACCGAGTGGAAGTTTGTGAAGAACTCAAGCAACTCTGTGCAGATAATCCCAATTTCCGCGGACTTTTTTTATTTCCTCGGCTGAAAAGGGAGCTCAAAGGACAACAGCTCGAGTCGGTTGACAACGTACAAGCTACTTCGACGGCCTCCCTGAACAGCATCCCAGTCAAGGAGTTCCAGAAATCTTATGACGCATGGAAATCGCGTTGGCAAAAATGTATTGACGCAGAAGGGTCATACTTCGAACAATTTTAAGTTGTTTTACCTATGCGATCAATAAATTCTTTTTTAAAAAAATGCGACGCATTACTTTCCGGACAAACCCTGTATGTACATGGAAAATATTAATCAGCAGCTAACAGATATATGTATATGTCCATTTAAAAATAATGTTGATTACATAAATTTTATAATTTTGTAAGCTTCACAGAAAAATATAATTCAAAATTGTTGGTTTCATTTTTCTTTCAAAAATTGCATTGAGTAACATAACAATAAATATAATATAAATAATATAACGCAATGTGAAAAAATCCATCTATACATAGTAGGAAAATTTACGCTTTCTTGTTAAAAACGATCCCTTCAAAACTTTTGTGTTAAATATTTAATATTCATGTGTTAATTAAAATATTGCGTTGTGTTATATAGAACTTAAATTTTTAATTATTAAAACAATCGAAAATTTGTATAAAAATAACTCAACGTGCATCTATTTTTACTTGTACACAATAAATATGTAGTTTTATTAGTGACAAGATTTATTTGTTAAAATTTACTGAAAAATGTTGATTTTATATTTTGCATTATAAATAGAGATAAAATATAAAATTAACATATTTTTAGATAATTTTTACATTAAAACTATGTTAATTTTACGCAAAATTTATTTTAACTTACTTGAAGTTTTGCATACATTTTGTGTTAAAATATTAGCATACTATATATCTGTTACTATTTCACATATTTATATTATTTTAAATTAACACAAAAGTTTTTATGGTTTAGACATGTGATATCTGTCAATTTTAACACAAATTTTTCAATTGTGCATCAATTAATTTACAAATTAAAAAAACTAATATTTATAACAGCACATGATTTCGACTCAAGATCGCTTATATTTTTAAAGGTTAATATAAGATAGAATACGAAGAGACTTAATATCTTTCGATAATTTTGACGAGAAAAATGTTAAATGATTTCAGACCTTCGACTTCATAATTCAATATGACGTCATTATAAAACCGCAATTTTTAAGCAACAGTATATATTCATACATTAAAAAAAAATGTATACTTTTTGTCATTTTTTTGAATACTACAGTAATTAAGTTATTAATTCCGACAAATTTTTTACATTTAATTAGATGTTATTATTAAGTCATTATATATAATAAACGCGATAATTTTAACAGAATTAATTAAAATGGTATTCATCAAGTGTTACAGCATCACGATTAATGCTTGTAAGTGTAGGAGTTAAATTTGTATCCTTAAACTGTATTATAATATCCACGATTTCTCCGTTTGTAAAGCTCGGTGGTAACACAATATATGAATATCTAGGTCCAAAACCTGTAAGCTTTGCAGAGTATTCAATGGAGCTTGCTTTTTCGAAAATATGATTGAATGGCTCATTGGATATGTCATGATTCTTTAATAATAGTTGAGTCTCTTTAATGTAATACTGCAAAACATGAAAAATGTTAGTTACAAAACTGTATATACTCTAAGAGATAATTATATACTGGACAATCTTTTCAACAAAGAGAAACTAAAGAATATATATATATATATATATATATATATATATATATACTAATTGTCTGACATAAAATGTGAAACCGAAAATTTACAAGTAGTTCTCGTTATTTGGGTTGAGAGAGACCATCATTTTTACATGTTCCCAATTTTTGCCATTACGTATTTTTATAACTAAACTTTAAATTAAAATTTTATTAAAGTAAACTCTACTAGAAATTAATTGGAGAATATGGTTTTGTTAATATTTTATTTCCAACAAGGCTTAATTTGCGAAAAATCTTTAATTTTTAATCGTTTATGACTCGAAAATTATTGATGCCTCAATATTGTTGCTGAGGAAAAAATGCCTCTAATAAACTAGATCTACTTTTATATTTTCAACGTGACAGCTTATGTTAGACATACATTATATAAACCATGCAGATAAGTATATAAATAATAACTGTTAAATAAAAACGTAAATAGTACCTGTAATTTATCATAATACAATTGCTGTTGAAGTAAATTGACATTTCGAATATTACGGTTTAGAAGACGCAGGAGATGCAGATTTCAGCTCTGCCATTTTTATTGGTTGATCGTACTTTTCTTGGCAAATACCTGAAACAAACAATAGATTTTTTATTTTTTTCATCTTTTTGAATTCTTTATGAGTGTACACTGAGTAATCGGAAATAAATAGACTATTTGTTGCAAAGCTATACACACAAACGTCGGCATCGATCTGCTTACATCCAAAGTCTTGCATCACTTGTTCGCATCTTTTAGCGAAACGTTTAACTGGCATCAAAAGAAGATGATCAAATCACGAATATCACGTGTATTATCCTGTATATCTTCCCAAAGAAGAAAGCATGCTGCGAATATGATGTCGAACTGCCAAGACCGGTGTCTAAGGGAATGTTCGAAATGATGCGCCTGCGAAAAGGTAATATATCAAAATTCTCCAGTTCAGTGATAGCATAAAGCAAAAGAAATAATAATAATAAGAATATTAAGTCAGCTTTTTAAATTTTAAAAACAATGTACACCTCCTTCATCTCGGCCAATAGAACCACACGCGATGTTATTGCGACAATTAAGGAAGAAAATTTGAAAACTAAGTAATTTGTATCTTATGGTTGGGATCTCAGAAATTTTTCTTGTTCCTTTCTTAACTTCCCCTGTAAAGAAATAGACGAGAAAAAAAGAAAAAAGAAAAAAATATTTGTAAACTAAATCTCTGTTCAAACGTACACCACATGCCGTTGATGGTAATTAAAGATATCACGTATTTAACGCTAAAACTTTCATCTAATTTGCTTTCTTTCTCTTCAAAAAGATGGTCTCAAACTTTTTCTAAAAATACTTTAATATGTAGATTCACATTAGCGAAATCTATCTCAATGTGTTCTATCTCTTTAGGTAATGCGCGGAATTTGAGTTTGATACGTCTATTTAAGCTTGTCGTGACAATATGTTGCTGATACGCCGCCGAGTGTTCTCCAGCTAAGACGATTCTGCCCGGTGCCAAAATTGTAAAATTAGCTAACCTGTTTTTATTTAGCGAATACATCTCTTCTTTACCGAATTTTAACGTTTAACAGTAAATAGTTTTTAATTATAAAATTATAGTGATGCCATTAATAAAAATTTGAAACGTTTATTATCGCTTATATAAGACAGTGTTTATATTTTCCGTGTTTAACTTTCGCGTTTCATTCGTGACTGGTTTCATCTCGGGACAATGTATATTAACATTACCCAGTTGTCATGACTTTAAGTCTGAACTGTTATATCAAATTTTATCGATATTTTGGGAAGCAATTAAAATAAATGTGTATATGCCTATAATAATCCAAAAATGATTTATTATTTTCAATGTGATAAATTAAAAGTTGTTATAGTTGTAGATACATTTGAAATATTGTCAAATAATATTGCGATGTTATAGTTTAAATTAAATTATATGTACGCGTACATAATATACTTATACAAAATTAGAAAATATATAAAATGTACTAATTAAAGTTAACAGTTAGAGAAGTTGCCATTTTAATTGTTTTATCTTATTTCTATTGACACAATGTATAAAAAATTCACATGTTACAATTTTGCAATATATTATAATAAATTATAAATAGAACTGTAATTAAAAATATACGTTTTTGTCGAGATACGTCTATAATTAAAATATAATATAAAATGCTTTATTTTATATGTGTAAAATTGTATTTCTTTTAATAAATTATATGATCTTGACATAAAACATAAAAATATCGTTATCATTTGTTATTTTACAGTTCTCGTTGAAGTAAGTTTATATATAAGCATATTCATTTAAGCATTCGCGGAATAGAACAATTTATTGCTATCATATTTCCAAGTAATAATATTATACATATAATAATTCGTATGTTTAAAAAATCGACAAATACTTTATTTTTCTATTATAATTTTTGATGTCTCTTTATTGAAATTACGTTAAATAATGAAATTAAAAATGAAGAAAGAGTTTATGAAAATCAATTAATCTTTTCATATTGTACCAGTTTTATATTATTAAAGTCTTGTAGTATTAAAAAATATATTAAAAAGTATTAAAAAGTATTTCGACATTATAATTTAAACTTAGTGTATCGTGAATTTTGGCTCGAAAGTATTGAAATACGTTTTATTTCTATTTCTTAATTATTTTATAACATATTTTATAAATAGTTAAATTTATAGTATATAAACTGAAGAAAATGAAAAAAGAAATATATATTGTTTTCATTCCGAAAATCTTTAGCTACTGTGCAAATTCAACTGAAATAATTGTAATTAATTTTTACATCAAAAATATAATCTTATAAACTTTCACCCTTATAAGCATTCATATTCATTTAAGCATTCGCAGAAAAAACCATTTTATTACTATCATATTTCTAAGTAATAATATTATATATACATATAATAATTCGCACGTTTAAAAAATCGACAAATACTTTATTATCTCTATTACGATTTTTGATTTCTCTTTATTCAGATTACGTTGAATAATGAAATAAAAGTGAAGAAAGAGTTTATGAAAATCAATTAATCTTTTTATATTGTACTAGTTTTGTAGTATTAAAAATATATTAAAAAATATATCCAAATATATTATTTTTGTTACTTTAGATACTTAAATGCATATAATTTATATTATTTAATTTTATATGTCCAAAAAAGTAGAACATGTGATCATAAATGACAGATATATTACATGCTTCATAATTCGTGTTTATAAATTATATAGCATTACTGAATAATGAAAACTAAAAATTTTGAAATATTTCCGATTGCCTCTTTAGCAAAGGAAAAATTAATCAATAAAATTATATTTACCAGCCTTTTTTTTACATATAGACATATTTACATCAATGAGATATTCACCAGGTAGTATGTACACAAAAACTATATTAAGCTCGTCGGTAACTAGTATATGTATATGTACATTTAATAGACAATGCTGATAAAACAAATTTTATTTCATAATTTTCTTTTAAGCTTTTCAAAAAAATATAATTCAAAATTATTTGATTTATTTTTTATTTACAAATTGCATTAAATGATATAATGCAATATAAGTTATGAAAAATAACGTTTTTTATACTAATAATTTACAAATCGAAAGTTTTTAAACATTTATTACAGCACATGATCCCGAAACAACATTGATTATGTTTTTAAAGTTTAATAAAATAGAGTACGAAGAAAGTAATATCCTTTAATAATTTTGATATGAAAATATTCTATGATTTCTCACCTTTGATTTCATAATTCAATACGCTGCCATTGAAAGACCGCGATCTTTGAGTAATATATTAAATATACATATTTGTATGTATATATAAATTGAACAAAAATGTATATTGTTCGTCATACTTTTTGAAAATACCACACAGTTAAGTTAATTATCTTAATTTTTTTTTTACGTTTAGTTACTTGTTATTATTTTGACATTTATATAATGATCGCGATAATTTTAACAGAATCAATTCTCAAGTCTTACTCCATCACAATTGATGCTAGTACTTATAACAAGGTAATTTTCATTCCTTAGATGTGTCGAAATTTCTGTGATTTCGTTGTTTGTTATGTGAGATGGTAGCAGAATGTACGCATATTTAGGTCCAAAACCTGTAAGCTTTGCCGAGTACCCCATTATTTGTGCAATTTCAAAAATACGATTAAATGCCTCATCGGACAAACTATAGTACTGCAATAATATTCGACTTTCTTTAATGCTCCACTGCAAAACATAAAACATTTTGGAAAACTGTACATATTCTAACAGATAATTATATACTGGATTATGTCAACGCAGAAAAAGTATAGAATATATATAAATATATGTATATATGTGTGTGTGTGTGCGTGCGTGCGTGCGTGCGTGCGTGTGTGTGTGTGTGGGTGTGTGTATTATGCAGGATGTGTGCCGAAAATCGTCCGCAATACACCTCTGGTGCTGATTCGGTACCCAAAAAGTAAGAAAAAAATTATAAAATAGATCCGAAAATAAGCCGTTTTCGAGTTAGCCTCAGTTTTATGTTAAAATAGTCTTAATTTATAGTCTGTTTGGCACCTATTTTCTTAATTTTTTAAAATTAAAATTTTTTATTTTATAAAGATAATGTAATTGTATTTACAAGTATATCAAAAAATTGAAAAAAAACTGAAACAATTAAACTTTAGAAAAATTAAAACAATTAAAATTAAAAAAAATTAAAAAATAAAGTTTTAAAATTAAACAAAATCAGAAATTGAAAATTATATAAATATAATAAATAAATATAAAAAATACAAAGATTAAAATTTTTTTAAAATTAAGAAAGGGATGCCAAAGAGACTATAAATTACAATTTTTTATCATAAAAGTATAGTTATAACTTTGAAATGACTTATTTTCGAATCTATGTTTAACTTTTTTCTTCTTTTTGGATCCCAAATCGCTTCTCGAAGTATTGCGCGCAATTTTCCGGACACTCTTATATATAATATAATTATAACAAAATTAGAAATCAAAACGAAAATAGTACCTGTAATTTTTCATAATAAAATTCTTGCTCAGCTAAATTGCCATTCCGAATATTAATACTTAGTAAATTGAGCCAATAATACATGTTTAATGATAAATTATTTAATATATTGAACATGTAATCAAACGCAAAAGAAGATTGAGTTTTCAGCTGTGCCATTTGTCTTGCTTGATCGCACTTTTCCTGGCGAATACCTGAATCGATCAGTAGAATCTTTATTCTTGCCATCTCTTCGAAATCCTCAAAAACGTACTCTACGTAATTATCGGCAAGTAGATTATTTGTTGCAAAACCGAATACACAAACGTCGGTATCGATCTGCGTATATTGATAGTCTTGCATACGTTCCTCGCAATTTTTAACGTACACTCCAACATCCATCAAAAAGTCTATGTGATTAAATTCAATATTTTCATGATGATCACTCTGTAAACGACACCAATGAAGAAAACACGCAGCCAGACACACAGCGAATGATGTCGAACTGCCAAGACCAGCATCGAGCGGTATATTCGTGGTCACGTGCACGTGAAAAGATCTAATGTCAAGTTTCTCATAGACAGCAATACTATAAAGCAAGTAAAAAAACATTTGTAAACTAAATCTCTGCGTGAACGACTGCCACATGCCGTTGAAAGTAATGAAGGATTTCACGTATTTAATCCTAAAGTTTAGATTTAATTGGTTCTCTTGCTCTTCAGAAAAGAAGCTTCGAACTTCTTCTAAAGGTACTTGAATCTGTAGATTCACATCTGGGAATTCTATTTCAATTGGCCACCCTTCTGGTAATTCACGAAATGTGAGTTTGGTACGACGGTCTAAACTGGTCGAGACAAAGTGTTTTTGATACATTGCTGAATGCTCTCCGGCTAAGACGATTCGGCCCGGTGCGGAAATTTTGAAACTAACCATCCTTTTTATTCGTTTATAATAAAAATAACTTCTTAGTCACAGAACTGTGATGTAATGTTGAACAATAGAGAGTTTATAATTAAGAAGGTACAAGAATTCTGCTAATAAGAATTTGAAACGTTCGTATCGCACATAAGACAGTGTTTATATTTTCCGTGTGTACACTTTCGCGTCTCATTCGTCACTGATATCGTCTCGAAACATATAATACCATTGCCCGGCAGTCACGACTTTAAATGTGAAATACAATGTCAAATTTTTTCGATATTATGGGACAGTGGTTATTTTAACCGGCGTCCCGTAAAATTATGAAAACGCGGAGTATCTATCTAGAATAAATTACTATAATTTTTTTTAATTTTATGAATATTGTTTTTTTAAATTAAATTTGTATGATTTTATTCCGCAAATTTTTCTTATAATAAGTCGAAATAAGTGTTCCGTAACTTCAAAAAGATTAAGAACCACTGTTTTAGGGAGAAATGATTAGAATAAATGTGTATGTCCATACATAATCCAAAAATAATATATTATTTTCAATATGATAAAATAAACGTTTTCTTATATTGTCGTAGATACATTTCAAATAATGTCAAATAATATTGATGTTATATTTAAAATATATATGTTACGTTCGTCGCATATTATACTTATAAAAAATTGGAAAATGATAAAATATATTAATTAAAATTAGCAATCAGAGAAGTCATTTGATTTGCATTTTCTAATTTGCATTGACACAATGTATAAGATGTTTACATGTTAAAATTTTGCAATATATTATATATTATAATTACAAACTATATTTTCTAGTCGAGATATGCGTATAATTGAGATATAATATAAAATGCAGTACCGTATATATGTAAAATTATATTGTTTAGTAAATTATATAATTTTGACATAAAACATGAATATATCGTAATCATTGTTATTTATATAGATCTCATTTATGTTAGCCTAAATCGACATAATAATTATAACTTAATGTATTGCGGACTTCGGCTCGAGAATATTGAAATATATTTTATTTCTACATCTTAATTATTTTATAAAGAAATAAATCTTATTTTAGTATATATAATACTGGAGATATAAAAAAGAAATATAAATATCATTTTTATTCTGACAATTTTTAGCTACTATGCAAATCCAATTGAAATAATTGTCGTAATAAATGTTTTGCATTATTAAAAAGTCATATAAACTATAAATATGCACATAAGCAATCATATTTATTTAAGTATTCGCGGAAGAGAAATATTTGCTGTCATCGTCCAAGTAATAATATTATACATATAATAATTCGAATGTTTAAAAAAATCGACAAATACTTTATTATCTTTAATTTTTTCAATCAATTTTTTCTTTATTTCAATTACGTTGAATAATGAAATAAAAATAAAAGACATATGTAAAAGTTGTTAAAGAGTTTATGAAAATCTCTTTATATTCCACTAGTTCTTCATTAGTATTAAAAATTTCAAAAGATATAATTTTCCGTTACCTTAAATAATTAAATGTATATAACTTATTTAATATAATTTCTATATTGCCAAAGAAGTAGAACGTGTGATTATAAATGACAGATATATTACATGCTTCATAATTTGTATACTACATGCTTCATAATTCGCATTTATAAATTTTATAGCATTAGCATTATTGAATAATGATAACTTATATTTTGAAATATTTTTTACGGTTACTTCTTTAGCAAAAATAAAATTAATAAAATCAATCAAAATTAATATTGGACGCTAGTAGTGAAAATAAACTTGGCAGAATTGATTTCGACGTAACTAGCAATTTTATTTAATTCTTTCACGACGTTTCGACCATTTGGTTGTGGTCCTTGACGTTGACGTTGACAAAACATTATAGCAATGGGACGTGTTCCTCTTTTAACTTTTAACTATTAATTTTAAATAAGACCGGTGTGATGTTGAGTTAATCTCAGTTTAATTAATGAAATTTTCACTTGATAAGGACCACAACCAAATGGTCGAAACGTCGTGAAAGAATTAAATAAAATTGCTAGTTACGTCGAAATCAAGTCTGCCAAAATTAATAAAAAAAATTATATCCACCAGATTCCTTTTTACGTGTAAGAATACTTACATCTTTAAATCATGCATCAGATGACATATGTACATGGAAAATATTAATCAGCAGCTAACAGATATATGTATATGTCCATTTAAAAAATAATGTTGATTACATAAATTTTATAATTTTGTAAGCTTTACAGAATAATATAATTTTAAATTGTTTGTTTCATTTTTCTTTCAAAAATTGCATTAGGTAACATAACAATAAATATAATATAAATAATATAACGCAATGTGAAAAAAAACCACATATAGTAGGAAAATTTGCGCTTTCTTGTTAAAAACGATCCCTTCAAAACTTTTGTGTTAAATATTTAATATTCATGTGTTAATTAAAATATTGCGTTGTGTTATATAGAACTTAAATTTTTAATTATTAAAACAATCGAAAATTTGTATAAAAATAACTCAACGTGCATCTATTTTTAATTGTACACAATAAATATGTAGTTTTATTAGTGACAAGATTTATTTGTTAAAATTTACTGAAAAATGTTGATTTTATATTTTGCATTATAAATAGAGATAAAATATAAAATTAACATATTTTTAGTTAATTTTTTAAAACTATGTTAATTTTACACAAAATTTATTTTAACTCACTTGAAGTTTTGCATACATTTTGTGTTAAAATATTAGCATACTATATATCTGTTACTATTTCACATATTTATATTATTTTAAATTAACACAAAAGTTTCTGTGGTTTAGACATGTGATATCTGTCAAATTTAACACAAATTTTTCAATTGTGCATCAATTAATTTACAAATCAAAAAAACTAATATTTATAATAGCACATGATCTCGACTCAAGATCGCTTATATTTTTAAAGGTTAATATAAGATAGAATACGAAGAGACTTAATATCTTTTGATAATTTTGACGAGAAAAATGTTAAATGATTTAAGACCTTCGATTTCATAATTCAATATGACGTCATTAAAAAACCGCAATTTTTAAGTACTAGTATATATTCATACAATGGACAAAAATGTATAGTATTCGTCATTACTTTAAATACTACAGTAATTAAATTAATAATCTTGACAAATTTTATTGTTTAGTTATTCAAATATATAATAAACGCGACAATTTTAACTGAATTAATCAAAATGGTATTTATCAAGTGTTATACCATCACAATTGATGCTTGTAAATATAGGAGTTAAATTTTTATCCTTTAATCGTGTTATAATATCTACGATTTCTCCGTTTGGAAAGCTCGGTGGTAACACAATATATGAATATCTAGGTCCAAAACCTGTAAGCTTTGCAGAGTATTCAATGGAGCTTGCTTTTTCGAAAATATGATTGAATGCTTCAATGGACAAATCATGATTCTTCAATAATAATTGAGTTTGTCTAACGCAATACTGCAATACATAAAAAATGTTATCAAACTATACATTCTCTAAGAGATAATTATGTACTGGAAAATCTTTTCAACAAAGAAGAACTAAAGAATATATATAGGATGTCTGACATAAAGTGTCTCACCGAAAATATACAAGTAGATTTCGTTATTTGGAATGAGAGAAGCCATCGTTTTTTATGTTCCCAATTTTTCTCACCTTAAATCTTTATAATTAATCCTTAAATTAAAATTTTATTAAAATAAACTCTACTTGAAAATAATTGAACAATATGGTTTTGTTAATATTTTATATCGACAAGGTTTAATGTGCGAAAAAACCTTTATTTACAATCTCTTCTAACACCAAAATTATTGATGCCTCAATATTGTTGCTGAGGGAAATTTGCCTTAAAGTAACAAGATCTACTTGTATATTTTCGGTAAGGCAGTTTATGTCAGACAGGCTGTATATATATATATATATATATATATATATATATATATATATATATATACAAAAATAATAACTGTTAAATAAAAACAAAAATAGTACCTGTAATTTATCATAATACAATTGCTGTTGAGGTAAATCGGCACTTCGAATATTGCTGTTTAGGCGATGCAGAAATTTATACATTTTTTTTTGCAAATCTATTTAATCTATTTAATATAGTAACAAACGTGTCAGAAGATGCAGATTTGAGCTCTGCCATTTTTCTTGCTTGATCGCACTTTTCCTGACGAATACCCGAATCGATCAGTAGAATCTTCATTCCTTTCATCATATCGAATTTCTTAATATAACTGTACTCTACATAATCGGAACAAAGTAGACGATTTGCTGCACGGCCGTATATACAAACGTCGGCATCAATCTGCGCACATCCATAGTCTTGCATCAATTGTTTGCATTCTTTAACGAAACGTCCAACTTGCTTCAACACGTAATCACTCAATTCTATATTGCATTATCATTCTGTACATGCTCCCAAAGATAAAAGCACGTTATGCTATCAAGTTATCATAATATATCAAGATTCTCTTCTTCAGCGATAGTGTAAAGCAAGAAAAAAAATATTTGTAAACTAAATCTCTGTTCAAACGTACACCACATGCCGTTGATGGTAATCAAAGATATCACGTATTTAACCCTAAAACTTTCATCTAATTTGCTTTCTTTCTCTTCAAAAAGATAGCCTCAAACTTTTTCTAAAGGTACTTTAATATGTAGATTCACATTAGAGAAATCTATCTCAATGTGTTCTATCTCTTTAGGTAATGCGTGGAATTCGAGTTTGGTATGTCTATTTAAGCTTGTCGTGACAATATGTTGCTGATACGCCACCAGTGTTCTCCAGCTAAGACGATTCTGCCCGGTGCCGAAATTGTAAAATTAGCTACCCTTTTTTCCATCAATGAAGACATTTCTTTATAGAATTGCAACGTTGAGCAGTTAACTTTATAATTAAGATTTACAGTGATGAAGAGTGAAACGTTCGTTATCGCATATATAAGACAGTGTTTATATTTTCTGTATATACATTTTCGCGTCTCACTCGTGACTGGTTTCATCTCGGGACGTATAATAACATTATTCGGTTGTCATGATTTTAAGTCTGAACTGTTATATCAAACATATTAATTATTTTCGATATTTTCGGAAAAAGTTAAAATAAATGTGTATGCTCATAAAATAATTCAAAAATGATATATTATTTTCAATGTGATAATTAAAAGTTTCTTATAGTCGTAGATACATTTGAAATATTGTCAAATAATATTGGTGTTATAGTT